GATGGGGAGGAAGGCAGCAAATCACACTGCCACGTGTGTTCCTATGCAACAATTTTGCATGTTCTTCACATGTACCCCAAAACCTAAAATGCAATAAAATAAATAAATGGGAAAAAAAAAGAAAATTTATCTTCATTTTATTATCTTTATGGTAAAATAAAATAAATCTTTATAAATCAAGATTTATAAATCTTTATAAATAAATCTTTAAAATAAAATAAAGACATTATACACATAAGGATTGGAAAGAAGGAAATAAACTGTCTTTAACTGAAATAATATGATTGCTGAGACATGAAATATAGTGTTGAAATAAAACAGTGATGACATTTTTTCTTCTCATTTAAAAAAAAAACCTTTAATTCTTTTATTAAAGATACCTTTTTTATTTTAAAGATATTTGTTGGGTTAAAAATATTATCTTCTATTTCTAATACACCATGAGTTGTATTTCTTAACTGTGAAGAAATATTTCTATCAATTTGTCTCTGCATGTGAGACAAATTGTTTTTAAATTTGTTAATGTGATGAATCACATCGATATTTTTGATAACATGATTATTTTGTCATTTTTAGTATTGGTTAGGAACTATTTCCTATTTTTAATGTCTTTGAAGGGCTTTGTATAAAAATGGGATTATGTGTTACTTTAAAGTGTGGTAGAAGTTAAATGTGAAACCATGTAGAACTACTAGTTTTCTATATTTTATTGGCAGGGAGTGTGTTTGGTTGTGTAGGTTTGCGTATGTTTTTGTTTTTGTTGTGTTTTGAGAGATTTTAAACTACAGCTTCAATTTGTTTAACAGCTATAGGGCTGATTAGGCTTTTTGTTTCTTCTAGAGTTAGTTCTGGTAAGATATATTTTTAAGTAATTTGTTCATTTTGTCTAAGTTTTCAGAGCTGTTGACATTTAGTTATTTGCTGCCTACTTCTATTATTTTTTATATCTACTTTGGCTTTATATGTATTATATTTTCTTTATTCAATATTTACATCATTTTTGTCTTTTCTTTTTTCTCCATTAACTTTACCAAACTGTTGCCTATTAAGCCAGGTTATTTTTCAAAGAACTGACTTTTCATGTGGCTTATCTTCTCTGTTTTATCCCTTTTTCATTGTTTCTTATTCTTGTTTTTATTATTTATTTTCTTCATATGTCCTTAATCTTATTCTAATATGTCTCGAAAGCTATAAATTACTCCCAAGGCACTGCTGTTATTGTATCTGAAAAATACATGTTTAATATTTTCAACATAATTTATTTCTGAGAATAATGATAAAGAATTGTTGTAATTTCTTCTTAGTCCATAGATTTCTAGCAATCTGTTTTTTTTTTTAATTTCTAAATATAAAAACTATTTTTGTTTGTGTTTTGGTTAATTTCTAAGTTAATTATATTGGATCAAAGATCACTATATATAATAACTATGTTTCATAATGTGTGGAGGCTTTCATTACCTGTCAAGTAAAGTACCATTTTAATAAATATTTGTGTATTCTTTATAAAAATTAGTTCCTCTAAATGTTCTTTGCGGAGTTTATAAATATCAAACACGTGTGTTCAAAATCCATGATGATTGTTTTCTGCTTGCTCTATCAATAGCTTAAAAAGATATGTCAAAATCTCTTATGACAGTGTCAGATTCATCAATTTCTCCATCTAGATTTTTTTCATTTTTGCTTCCTATATTTAAAAGCCATTTCATTAAATTTATAGCTATTTTTAAATATTATGCCTGTTTTAGTAACTGAGTTTTTTAAACTAAATTGTGAATCTGTTCATCATTAGTAATTACATTTTAAAAAATTAACTGGATATTTTTTTCATATTACTATGAGAGATTCTACTAAATGGTCTATATAAGTTATAAAAACCTCTAACCCCAGAGTCATTCAACTTTTTCCCCTCACTGCTGCCACGTTCCTTTTTGTCCAGGACCCCTCCTTCTTTGGAACTTGAAACCATATTTAAATGCTACTTGGCCTACACAACGTTCATTTCTGGATCTGCAATGAAGTGGGAGGATCTGAGGCGAGTTGTGGTAAGATCTAGTTGTTTTTGTTCCTTGTAGTTTTCCAAAGCTGCAACAATTAAAATGGTAGGATATATTGTTTTTTGAAAAGGTATTATATCAGCTTCTTTAATTGGTGGAAAATATGATTTCCTCAACTTTAAAAACAATCATAAAGGAGATGTAGTAATTGACCTCCAAATCTGATTTGACAAATGTCAAGCAGACCTCACTGTTTGCTATCACATATATTTAAATTATTTATTTCACAAAATTCTCTATCTGAATAAGTTTTATTTTATCAGCCTAAGAGATCTGAAAAAGGTATGGATAGCAAGATGTGTTTGATCTTACCACACAAATAGAATTCTTACCAGAAGGCAGATCTCTGAGTCTGTCAGCTTTAATCAACTTCTCCTCCCAAATGCATGAATATGCTTTCCAACAGGAAAAACATAAAGGAAAATAGTAGAAATCCCATTAAATTTGGGACTAAAAATAATGAGCAACAGCCAACCCTCTAAACAGGTTTGGCTTAAGATCAAATGCAGCTTCCTGTCATGTTCTCAGTCTTGGAGAATCAACAAACAGAAAAATTTCTGTTTAAAACCGAGATCTATAGAGTAAACATGAAGAACTGAAGTAGAAAACGACTGACCCAGAAAAATCTTTCTTATTCCTGCAATTTAGTACTGTAAGAGCCCCTTCAATAATTTTCTAGAACTTTGAAATTCACACTCCACCAACATTTAATAACTGCTTACTGTGAGCCACGTAGACTCCCAGTTCCTCTGTTCTTTACTGTCCTGAAAGACAAGTAAATACATAGGCAATTGCTTATAAAGGTCTTACGGCTTATCACTAGGCATCAAACAATGGTTATGGATGGTAGGAAAAATATAACTCTGAATTTTACCCATTTGAAAGCAATCTTTCACCTGTGTCACAGACCCTGTGCCCTGGCCCATCAGCTGCAGCTCTTGCCCTTTGCAGCATTTGCAGGACAACAATCGTAATGTAAAGACAGCCTCATTACAACTCATTCAGAAGTGTGTCCTCTTTTTTGTTAGCAATTTTATTACAAAATTTTAAGAAAACGTGAAAGGGGAAGACCAGAGCATGTCCCATGTAATTAACAAGACGGCTGTTGTCTGATCTTGAATGGCAGGTGGAATCTGCAGAGGCATGCCTGATCATAGCCAACCCTTTGTGCAGTGATTCCCATGCTGAAGATATTTCCAACATTATGAGGTAAGAAGCTGGTATTGTATTTTGTATACTATAATGATTATTTTTTCCTATCTCTTTTAAAGTAATACCCAGTACATAAGAATAATGCCAGTTGAAACAGGAGAAAATGCCACCTATTATATCACTAAGTTCATTATATTCCAAGGTACTGCCTACTTTTTGCCCTCTCCCCAAGACTGTGCGGACAGATGCAAAAGGAAATGAAAATAGAGCACCTGAGAGTGTATGTGCTTCTTTATATAATTCCATGAAGTTTCATATGTATACTAGCTACCTGAATTTAAAAAGCAAGTATACAAATAAGTGATTATTATTCAGATTGCACCATTATAACTAATATCCTCTCCTCAAAAATAAAGATGCAATTGTATGAACCCTATTGGTACACTTTATTTATTGAGATTTTTCTCCAGTAGTTGTGGTGAAAGATTATGCATGGTGCGGAATGATGTGCTTTTGAGCATTTGGGCATCGGTAAGTATTTTCAAGATGGCTAGAATCTGTGTTATGACATTAAACTATGAATTCTTTGAGCAGGAACCTGACTTGTGGTGACAAAGATCCAACTGTGATTATGATGTCAATGGCATTTTGCCTAATCCAGATGAACTTCCAATCTCCAGAGTAAAATAAATACATGCAGCTGAAGGTGACATTACATATATCAAGAAACAGCTGAAAATTTGTACCATGCACAATACAGTAAATCTGAGATAGATCTTAGTTTCTTAATTTGTAAAATGAAGTAATTGAATTAGACAGTCTATGAGCTATTTCAAGCTACAAACAACCCAATAAATTTCTATTTTTTTCTGTAATTATTAGGTTTGAATTTGAAGGCTAAAACATGAAACTGTTGATTTCCTCCTCAAGAATTGATTTCAGAAGAGCACAGTCTTCTAATACCAAGAGATAATCATTCCATAGATTTGGTTTGCAAAGTCATGAAAACAATTATGCTCTTCTGTGTATGCTACTAAAAACATTTTTAGAAAGTAACATAACAATAAAATTTATTATTCGCCAAGTTTTTCTACACTTACCTACATATTAATTTAACTCTGAATTGAATTACATCACAAAACCCTTTGGATATGACACATTATTAATGCAAGTGTTTGGGATTTATATAGGGTGCTCTCGATCAAGAACTATTTCCCTACCAGCAGAGTCATCATACAGATACTTCAATCCCATAACAAGGTATTGTAACATTCTAGCATATTCAGTCTCCCCCTCTTTTTGTCTGTATAGCTAGTGGAATATTTTTATTTCTAATGGATGTGTAAATAAAAAGTTTTTGCTAATCCTAGGTAAAATTTGGAGTCTCATTAAGATGGATAATGACTTAAGAATGTAAATTGGAGACAGAATTCGAGGTTTAAGCCATTTGACCTGATTTTGCAACTCTAGCTATTTTTGCTGCAGACCATGAAAGTCATTGACCATTAACCACTTTCAAATGCTGAATTTGTTCTTATTATTTTCATTGACCTGGGCACCACTTTTATGTGCAAGAATGAAAAATAAATGATTTCAAGTAAATTAAAGAAAGTAAGACATTAATCCAAAAGAGCTTTCTTGAGGTGTGTTTATTCCTAATGCTTGGCCTGCTTTGTGCTGTGGAACAGGTCTATCTGCCAGTGATTCCCAGCTGGAACTGGAACGCTGGAGACAACATCATCTGCTTTGCTGAATTAAAGCTTGGATTCCTCGCCCAAGGCTGTTTGGTGCCAGGCTTGTGTACCCTCCTTACGTCTCTATTTGTGGAGCAAAACAAAAAGGTAACTTTGTAAATTAATGTCGATTCTCGGTTCTGTCCCATGTCCTACATATTAACATCAGAAACAGAAAAAAAATTTTGAGAGAAGCGTGAAGGCCCCAAGAAATGAGATTTGAATTCTGCTTGAGCTGAAAGGAATGAGAAGGTCTGGATTTAAAATCCTAGGAACCACATTGACCTTGAAGAAATCATGTATCTTATTCCTGCCTTAGAGTATTTATCTACAAAACAGAAAAATTATAACTCTGCTTCCTAACTACAGCCCAGGATGTTATAAATCAAAGTAAACTCATCAAGGTAGAAGTGTTGAGTTATTGAAAGTGAAAATATAAATAAAGGTGATATTATTGATGAAGGATTCATATATTTCAAAACAAATTAAATGCAAAATAATAATTGGTATAATAATAATTACATTCATCAAATAGAAATAATGATACAAATAATAATTAAAATCTAATTTTTCCAGGTTGTTTTAGGGAGAATTCCATGCTGGAATAATAACAGTGACCACATAATGAGTGCCTACTGTCTTGTACTTCCCCTCAGTAATATTTTAAGTTAGTTTCCCAGCAGGGAATTGGTGAAACGAACTAATTTGATCACAGCATAAGTTGGTGAGCTGCAGAGCTAGAACTGCCTTGTCCACAGTGTTGTTACCACAGTGCTATATGCTATGGTGTTAACTCCGCACACTGTCTCACATCAAGATTTTTGATATCTTTGTCTGAGACAAAGTAAGGGGCTAAAAGTGACTCTTGGGAAAAAAATTTATAGCATAAAAGGTGGTCTTCCAAATACCATTTTCATGAAATACTCCAGGCAAGGTGTTCTACCACTTGGCTGGTCCTGGTCTTCCTTTTCTAAAGCCCTTGCCGAGAATGGCCTTACTTTCCATTTTATTCTGAGTCCACGCTTGCCTTTTATACACTTGACTTCCCTCTTGACCTCTCTTTGCTCACTCTTTCCTCGGTTCTCTCTTTCCTCTGTTCAGTACAAATATTTGCATCTTTCTCTGTTTCTTCCCTTGTGCTATTTAAGAAAAAGCAAAAGAGGTGAGAAGTGCTCTGGCCAGCTACATGCTAACTACAATAAATGAAATGCTTCTGTGATTCTTTCTGCGAATGTAAAGAGATATAATATACAGATTTTTAAAAATGAGAGTCAGGGTGTAGGGAATGAGCCTTCCTGCAGCTACAACACACGAGCTTTTCCTTTCATTTAGTGGTCGCTGAATAAAGTCTAGAAAATGGTCTATACGGACACTGTCTTTGTGTTGTGTATTTGGAAAGTAGCAGAGAACATCAACATTTCTTGAGATTATTGTGATTTCAATCTCCATGGCTGGAGAAAATAAATGAAAATAAATAGAATGAGAGCTCTATATGAAGGCTTAGCCTCCTGCATGAACCTATAAAAGATAGATGTAAAACCATCCTATTGTGTTTCTCTTTAAAAAAAAAAAAAAAGCTAGAGTTGTTGTCGGAAACAGTGGCTCATGCTCGTAAATCCCAACACTTTGTGAGGCTGAGGCGGGCGGATCACTTGAACTCAGCAGTTTGAGACCGGCCTGGCCAACATAGTGAAACCCTGTCTCTACTAAAAATACAAAAAAAATTAGCCAGGCATGGTGGCATGCACCTGCAGTTACAGTAGCTGGGGAGGCTGAGGCAGGAGAATCACCTGAACCCAGGAGGTGGAGGTTGCAGTGAGCCGAGATCATGCCAGTGCACTCCAGTCTGGGCAACAAAGTGAGACTCTGTCTCAATAAATAAGTAAGTAAGTAAAATAAAAATGAGATCTAGAGTTGTAACCTCCTCACTAAGGATGGTCACCTGTCATTATTTACACAAGATGGATTTTAGCTTACAGGGGTTGAGAGATATTTGTGGTCTCCATATTTTTTTTTTTTCTTGAGTGAAGTCTGAAACCTGCTTTCAGGAATCCTAAGCTAAACAGAATTGGGCAAGATGTGTGAAAACTGAATTCTTCTCTGGTGCTTTACATTCTGTAACAAACTATTGACTTTGCTTTAATGGCCGGGACTCCAGAGTTTTATGCTCCATTTCTCTCAGAGTAGGCCCTTACTTTCCCTGACTGTCAATTTCTCTACCTATAAAATTAAAGTTATTAATCTCATAACCAACTTTTTCTAAGTATTGAGTTAATATTTGTAAAACTTCTGAGAACTCAGATTAAAAGGCCTTGAATCAATGCAATGTGTTTTAATTATATTGATCATATTGTGAGAAATTGTAGCTTGAAGAACATTTCCGGTTGGTTCTTGGTTCAGAGCATTGCCTTAAACTTAAATTTAGATTAGATCTGATCCAACAGGCTTACTTGAGCACCCAGATTCTACTATCCAAATTCCCCCTGTTTTCTTTTCTGATCTTTTTAAAACTATCTCAGGAAGTCTTCTCCATCCCCAGGTTATCATTTTTTATCTTCTTTCAAAAATTGAAACATTTAGAAATAAGCCAATTTCTTTAGTTACTGGAAATTGAAGAGTGGTATGAACCACCCAATGATCAGAGTCCTCCTCATGAGAGGACTTTAAGAAAGTGAGAAAAGGAAGAAGATTCATTCAGCTGAATCTTGGTGGTGGAAGCAGGCACCAGATTGCCCGAAATAGTCTGTCTTTTTTGGTAGGGCAGAATCATTTGTCTGTGTGATTGTTTTTGTCTTGCTTTTCTCACACTGCATCATGACCATCTGAAGAGAATTTCTGAACCAGCCATATCTCTACATAGCACAGTGCTCCTAAAGGTTTAGAAATCCAAGATGTTCAGCCGAGAGTGGTGGCTAACACCTGTAATCCCAGCACTTTGGGAGGCCAAGGCGGGCAGATCACAAAGTCAACAGATTGAGACCATCCTGGCCAACATGGTGAAACCCTGTCTCTACTAAAAATAAAAAGATTAACTGGGCATGGTAGCACACACCTGTAGTCTCAGATACCAGGAAGGCTGAGGCAGGAGATTCGCTTGAACCCGGGAGGCAGAGGTTGCCATGAGCCAAGATCGCACCACTGCACTCCAGCCTGGCGACAGAGCAAGATTCCATCTCAAAAAAAGAAAAAAAAAATGGAATTCAAGATTTTCATCTGAGATTCTGGGCTTTAAGAAGCCCGTCTTGCTATATCAGAGTAGTGTGGTGGTGATTCTCATGGCAGTAGGTGAAGAAGGATGAGGAGAGGATCTTAGACAAAACGTCAGCCATGAGTTCCTAACAGCCTTTCTGTTAGGTTCGGTGCATTTAGCCTTTTTGAGATATCTTTCTCCATTCACATCTCCCATTTCTCTAGAAATATACTGTTTGCCTTGATTTCCCCATTCTCTCTCTTCTATGTATCAGGGTAGCCCTTCAAGTTCATTTGAACTTACGAAGGGTTCTGATACTGGGCAGAAGTCTGAGTATTTGCTTCTTTGAGGTACATGGTTGGAAGAAAGCTAAATGTTTTAAACCAATTTTGAATAGTCATATCCAGAGAGAGGTAATTTAGATTCCACATTAGCCTTACCGTCTGATTTTTACTAACTCAAAAGCTGAAATCAGGAGTGGGCAATGGAGAATTCTCACTGCCAGCAAGGAAACTTGAATGCCATCTGGGAAGAAAATAAGTCATGATATGTCTGCCTCATCCTGAACTTTGGTGAAAATAGTTGAGATGGAGTTAACTTTTTAGTTATTCCTTTAACATGTCTCTAGTTAGGCACTAAGATAAATCTCCTTTTAATAAATCGTTCACTGCTTAACAGAATATGCAATGTGAATTCTAATATTCCACCTTCCTTGTCATTTTGCTTCATGTGGCATGATTGTGTATTCCAGGTTTCTCCTAAACAGACCTGGCAGAAACATTTCTTGAATGGCATGAAGAACAAAATTCTGACCCAACGTCTCTCTGATGACTTTGTTGGAATGAGTTTTCCTGAAGTTGCCCAGTAAGTGAAGTGAAATACTTCCCTCATTTTTCAGGCAACAACATTCTTTCAACAAGGTTCATTGAGGGCTTACTGCAGGTCAGGCTCCATTACACACTGAACATCTAAGAATGGGTCGCCCAGGGTCCCTGCCACTTAGAAGTTTACAGCTGGGGTGGGGCAATTTCATCTCTTTCCCGGTTGGCACATTGACTCTTGGTTACTTCAGGTGGATTCCCTCACAAGGAATCATTCCATATTGGGAGTTTTTCCTCTAAGATGTTGGTTTCCTCCTTGGTGCAGGACACAGAGTGTTAGTTATTTTCTTGTTCACTGGTGCCCTTATGTTCTCTGTCTCCTTACAATTCCTCGTCTTCCTTCCCAGGCTCTGCTTTCTGAAGATGCACCTCCTGTTGATAGCCATTGAATACAAGTCCCTCTTCAAAGATGGTTTCTGGTACCAATAAGTCTGCTCATCTTTTTAGTTTTTTTTTTTTTTTTTTTTTTTTTTTTTTTTTTTTGGAGAATCTTTGTGATTAAGACTTTTTCCAAAGATGCAGCCGTAACTAAGCTTTTTTTCCATTGGTGGGTTGGTTGAGAGGCAGCCTCTGGGGCTCCTTGGCTCCCTTGCTGTGGGTCATACAGTGCAGTCTCTGATGGCTGAGGTTAGGGTGGTAACCCTCGTAAGTAAACACTTCCCCTTTGTTCCTCAGACCTTGCCCCAGCTCTCTCTCAGGAGCAGAGAGAAGAAGAAATGGTCACCTATTCAGATCTGTTTTCCTTAATAATATTACCAGATCTTGACCATGAAATAATACTACAAAATTGAATTATTTGTGGTAAAAAATGTTCCCACAAACACTGGCCATGGAAAGTAAAGGACAAGGCCAGGCATAGTGGCTCATGCCTGTAATGCCAGCACTTTAGGCTGAGGTAGGCAGATCACTTGAGGCCAGGAGTTTGAGAGCAGCCTGGCCAACATGGTGAAACCTCGTCTCTACCAAAAATACAAAAATTAGTGGGGCATGGTGGTGCACCTGGCCCTGTAATCTCAGCTACTTGGGAGGCTGATGCACGAGAATTGCTTGAACCTGGGAGGCAGAGGTTGCAGTGAGCTGAGATTACACCACTGCACTTTAGCCTAAGTGACAGGCTAAGGCTCTTTCTACAAAAAATAATTTTTAAGAAAAGCAAATGATAAAATATGGCAAAATGGGAATCTGACCAGCCTACTGGACAAAGGCTATTATTAATAGAGTGGGTAAAGGAGAGGCAACATCACCAGACATCAGCATTTCCCGAGAACACATAAGTGAATAAATATGAGAGTAAGAGAAGTCACCACATTATGCAAAATAAAATTCAGAACAAATGAAATGTACATAAACCTAAATGGGAGAAAAAGGGGAAAAAGAAAGACAAACAGATACTATAATATAGACAAAAAAGATGCATAAAGAAAAGAGCTGGGACTTAAATGGGATGAGGGCAAGAAAGACTGTATGTTGGCTCATGTGTCCGTTTTAGTGAAAAATTAACTGTACTAAATAGGAATTAACAGATTAGATTCTGATCCTGACTGTTTTGCTGGCCCTGTGATTGTGAAGGATTCATCATTCGTAGAATGAAGAAATAGAGTTAATGACTTTCTCACACACCTTCCAGTTCTAAAATTGACACTACCAGAAATTCTGAAATTTTAGGAAAACATTCAAAATGCAATAATTTTAAATTATATCAGATGAACTATAAAGGAATTATATGTGAAAGGTTGGAAAGAAGAACAGATCGGAGTTAAGAGGATGTAGAGGGCACCTGGGTAGAAGACATCAGTGGGATATTGTAAAAAGCAGGCCACAAAGAAAAGAATAACAAGTAATACTGCCTGGCTGGCTAAGTTCTGTTTAAAAATCCTGCCTTGCTCAAGAAAATCTCAAAATCAAAACCTCTGAATGTAAATATCTGCATAAATGGTCCTCCTACTAGAAACAGGTCATAGTAAAAAGGGTAGTCCTGGAATCATAAGCCAGCTCGTTTGGGTTTCAGACTGGCCTAAAATTTTTACCGAGTTTTAGTAACAGCTTTGGCTTTCAACCACCTGGACTATATGTCAAAATTATTTACAAAATTTTAAAAGCCTTACAGATTCCAAAACCCCACTTCTGACTGTGCAAAATCAAAATCTTCAAGGGTGAGCCTGAGAATTCTTTCTCAAAGTCTCCATGATATAATTGGCTCATTCACCGGGATTTGGAAGCTACAACCACATGCCCTTAAGATCCTTTCCACCTCTTAACAATCTAGATTTCTGTAAACTTTATTAAGATGACTGTTAGGACATCACAGACCAGAAACATGAATATTTATTTAGCAACTAATCCCACGTAGGTTTAAGAAGTCCTGTTTACTACTCAACACACATGTGCCCTGATGAAAGAGGGTGCTGTTGAAACAGAGATACAACTTTGGCTTCTCACTGGGAAGTCTGGTGAATCAAAGGAATTAACTTCTGATTTGGCAAATCTATTGATAACAACATTCTTTTACATGATTCTTACTTTGTGACCAACACTGCTATAGACCCATTACATATGTTAACTCTTGAATAATCCTCACAACAGTGCTGTAAGATGTTATTATTAGTCTAGTTTTACAGAGGAGGAAGCTGAACCCCAGAAAGTTAACTCATTTTCCCAACCTCACACAACTCCCAAGTGGCAGAGCCAGGATCTGAACTCAGGTACTCTGGCTCCAAGCCTGTGCTTCTGCCACCATCCTGTAGTAAATTCACTTCTGCCATCATTGGTAGAAGGAAGACTGCACATTTAAATATCTGGGCTTTAAGCAAATACATTGAAATTCTGGGGAAAAATCTATTTTCTCACCTTTTAATTCCTCTTCTAATTGGCAAGCTTGAAGAGATCCTAAGACTCACAAAAGGCTTGGATAATTTTATAAGAGTTTTTCTTAGGGATCTGACCCCAGTCACATAGTGTAATGATTTTGTTCCGGGGACGAACATTCTCTGATAGAGCAACCGGGCAAAACGTAAAGAGGGAATCACGAATAACACCACTTTAGGAAAATCCTTAAGAGAGACTCACCTCTTTTCTCAAATACAATTGAATATATGTTTTATTGTGAGAGTATCTTCATAGCTAGATATTTAATATAAGTTCAGAGAAAATTCTCACCTTAAAAAAAAAAAAAAGGAGGAATGGCTGGACACGGTGGCTCACACCTGTAATCTCAGCACTTTGGGAGGCTGAGGAGGTGAATCACCTGAGGTCAGGAGCTTGAGACCAGCCTGGCCAACATGGTGAAACTCCATCTCTACTGAAAATACAAAAAGTTAGCTGGGCATGGTAGCACGTGCCTATAATCCCAGCTTCTCAGGAGGTTGAGACAGGAGAATCGCTTGAACCTGGAAGGCAGAGTTGCAGCGAGCCGAGATGGCACCATTGCACTCCAGCCTGAGCAACAAGAGTGAAACTCTGTCTTCAAAAAAAAAAAGAGACACAACTAAGACACAACTAAGCATGTATCTGCTAGTTAGTGAGCATCAGTCGATAATATTTCAGGGGTCACAGCTGTATTTTCTTTTCCTTCCAAAATTAAAACCAGTTATTACACTCATTAATATAAGTCAGCAAATACTCAGAAAAGGCCACCCATTGTCTTAGGTAGTAATCTTCCTGAACACAGCTATACAGCCTGAGTCTATTCTTGGCATAGGGCTGAAGAACTTTGGCTGTGCAAGCCCATTTATTTTTGTGAGGGTTCTCTAACACTTGCAAGGTGTGAGTATCCCAACGACAGAATAAGCTTTGCCAGAATTAAAATTTCACCACATTTCAATGTGAATACAAGATGAGGGATGATTTTTAAAAGAGGGAAGAAGAATTTCCATTCTGCAAAAAAGAAATAAGGGGAATTATAGGATTGTAAGACTTCACCATATTAGACATCTGAATTGAGGGAAATAAAGGTAGGAGATCCTGGTAAACAGGAGGAAATGTGGGTAATTCTAAAAATCATAGCAGAGTAATGCATCAAAGAGTATCAGGGACAGAAAATAGTAACACAGTATTCTCAAACACATAAACCACAAGAAAATAGAAAATCAAAAGGTTCAAGTAATATAATAATAGAAATAATTCACATGGTTTCTGCTCTCAAAAATCTTGCAATCAACATAAACAAAAGTGAAGTCAAAAGAAATGCATAACTTCAAAATCTGCATAGGTGAATACAAGGAACTTTTGAATCCAGCTGGTTAATTAAATATTAATTTTAAATGACAAGTGGCCCAAAGAAGAACACTACTAGGATGATGCTAGGCCTGGAAACTGTATGGTCTTGGCATATTTGTCATTTGATAGCTTAAATCAGCTAGGTGTCATGCACCTGAGTTGGTTGGACCATCTCAGATGCATGACACAATTCGGAAGGAGCGTCACTGCGCAGGTCCACTGCGTGTTCAGCTCACTGATCAGATTGTTCCCTAGCTCCCCTTTGTATAGTCAGCCACAATCAAACAAAGGATTACAAATGTCAAATTCACATTCTCCAGCAGTAAGAGGAGATTGAATCTGATTAACTTAGCAACTTAGAATCCATTGATCATAACAGAAAGAAGCACCAACTATTGCCACTGAAATCAGAGAGAAACATTACCGTGTGTTTGTTTTCATTTCCAGTGGTCTGATACTAAATCCACCTGCACAAGTTAAGATACACAGGAACACATTAGGGTTCTTTATTGCTGAAACTCCAAAGGAAGTCAAAAGGTAATTTTTTTTAATTACTTAATGGGAGGAAAGCATTAAAGCAAAAACAGCTTAATGGCAGGCTTACTGAGTCAGCACCACGCCTCCTTGGTGTTAAGACTCACATAAGTCATTCTTGCTTTTCTTTCCTTGTCCAGAGCCTTGTTTTACTGTGCGGTCTGTCACGATGATGTGCTTATTCCTGAGCGAATTACAAACTGTGGCTGCAAAAGCAAAAACCAGAAGCACATCCCAGGTAATTGCACTTTATATCTGGCTGTCCTTAGCTCAGCCTCTACGGAACTGCCTGAGGAAAGGGAAGAGGGTTCCATCTCTTAAAAGTCAATGTCCATTTGAACTTGGACAGGAAGTGGAGGCACTTCCTCACTGGCCACATGAGACGTGAGCTCCAAAACAGTGTTTTGGAGCTGGAAGAAACCTGAGTAGTTATGTAATTCAATTCCTTTAAAGGGAGGCAAATGAATTTTAAGAGATCCAGTCACATTGTCCAAAGTCACATAGCCAGTTAGTGGCATCACCATACTCAATCCCAGGCATGCTGACTTTCAGCCCATTGCTTTTTTTATGATTTCACAGTTTTTCACAACTTTGGACTGAAAACTCAGCCTATTACTTGACTGTTTCATTGGCCATGAGGATGCTATCTCATGATCATACCTTGAGTACTCTTTCCTTAATGGATGGCAAGAAGTTTAAAGTTTACTCATCCTGACTTGGTGCTGAGGGAAGGTGATTTTCTCTGTTTTCTCTAACTGAACTCAGCAGCTTACCAGCAACCCTTTCCACTTAATGACAGAAAAGGAAAAATTAATCTAGAGCATTCATAATCACTTAGTCCCTTCTGGATTAAACCTTAGCCTCATCCAAGTACATTCAGACTCTTTGTGTAAAACCCCAGTGTTTCAAAATTTAAACTTATTCAATGCAAAATATGAATTTTCTATCAGGACTATTTTCATTCCTAAGGTTCTTATTCTCTCCTTTCCAGAATGTTATTTAAATTCAAGAGTAAGCCGACTTAGCATCATGAGTGTTCTTGCAGTGAGCCGCAAGTCTTCACTGATTTCTCCTGAGGTTTCTAATTAACTTTGGTCTGTAGTTGTCTCCTTCCGTCTCTCCTGCATCAACAACCAGTGAATCTGCTCCTCCTGGCGTTGGGTCAGGCTCTATCACTTATTACTGAAATCCATCCTCCTAGTCTTGAAATCTGCAAAACCCTTTTCAGTAACCCTTGTCTTTTCATTTCTTTTAAAATTTTTTTCCTATTACTTTTAGTTCACATGTAATAATTGCATATATTTTTGAAATACAGAGTGATATTTTGAATAGAAGTGGTGAGAGCTTATATTTTTATTTTGTTCCTGACCATAGGGGGAAGGCATTCAGTCTTTCACCATTAGTTATGATGTTGGCTGTGAATTTTTCATAGATGCTGTTTATCTGGTTATGGAAGTTCTCTTCTATACCTAAATTGTCGAGGTTTTTCTCATGAAGGACTCTGCTATTTCTCTTTTTTTTTTTGCTTTATTGAGATAATTATTTGGTTTTTGAATTTCATTCTATTAATATGCCATATTGCATTAATTGATATCCAAATGTTAAAGTCACCTTGTGTTTCTGAGAGAAATCTCACTTTGTCATAGTACAGAATCCTTTTTTATACATTTTGAGTTTGTTTGCTAGCATTTTGTTGAGGAATTTTAAATCTGCATTCAATACGAATTTTGGTCTTTACTTTCCTTTTCTTGTATGTCTTTGTTTGCTTTTGCCATCATGTTAAAACTGACCCCATACAATGAATTGGAAATTCCCTCCTCTTTTAGTTTTGGGAGGGTTTGTGAAGGGTTAACGTTAATTCTTCTTTAAGCATCTAACAGAATTTTACTTGTCAAGTAATTGGGTCCTAACTTCACATTTTTTATTATTAATCAACATCTTTACATGTTATACGTTTTTCAGGCTTTCTGTTTCTTCCTAAGACAGTTTTGGTAGTTTTATCTGTCTAGGCATTTGTTCATTTAAACTACATTATCAAATTTATTGGTCTATATCTGCTCATATGAGTATACATCTACTCATATAACTATACATGTTGCATACTTACGTTCACATATTATATACATAAATATTGCTTTATATTTCTTTTATTTTTTCAGACCAGTAGTTATAATCTTTCTTTGATTTTTTTATTTTGGTAACATGAGTGTTCTTTCTTTTTTGCAGCCAAACTTGCTACAGTGTTCATCTATTTTGTTGATCTTTTCAAAAATAACAACTTTCTTAATGGATTGTTTCTAATTTTTTTTTCTATTGTGTAATTGACTTATTTTTATTCTACTTTTTATTATTTTCTCCTTTCTTGTAGATTTGGGTTAACTTGCCTTCCTTTGTTCAGTATCACCTAAGGAGAAACATTAAGTGAAGTAATTGATTTCAGATTTTTTCTTTTTTAAAAGAAGAAAAAACTAGGCAGCCAGGTGCAGTGGTTCACACCTGTAATGCCAGCATTATGGGTGGCCGAAGCTGGTGGATCACCTGAGGTCAGGAGTCTGTTACCAAACTAGCCAACATGCAAACCCCCGTCTCTACTAAATATACAAAAATTAGCTAGGTGTGCTACTCAGGAGGCAGGGACAAGAGAGGCACTTGAGCCCAGGAGGAGGAGGTTGCAGTAAGTCAAGATCATGCTACTGTACTCCAAGCTGGGTGACAGAGCAAGACTTCTCTCAAAAAATAAATAAATAAATGGGCATTTATATCTAAAAAATTTTCCTCTTAAGTATCTTTAAGAGCATGGTGTATTTTTAATATGTTATATTTTCATTTACATTAATTTAAAATACTTTATAATTTCCCTTGTGTTTTCCATTTTCTTTTTTTGTATGTTTTTGACCCATTATTTAGAAAAGTGTTGTTTTTACTTTCACATATTTGTGAATTTTCTTAATTTTCTCTTTTATTGTATTCTTATTTAATTCCATTGTAGTTGGAAAGCATACTTTGTATGACAAATTCTTACAATTTTTTTTAAGACTTGCTCTATTGTCTAATACATGGTCTATCCTGGAGACTATTCAAAGCATACTTGGGAAGATCATGTATTATTCTGTTGTTGGATGAAATGTTATATGGATGCCTGTTAAGTGTAGTTGGTTTGTAGGGTCGGTTAAGTATAGGTTGGTATGTATATGTATATATATGATTTTTTTATTTCTTCATGTGGATTTGAATTACTGCCTAATGTCCTTTTATTTCAACCTCAAGGAATTCCATTAGTATTTATTGTAGGCTTTGTCATATATCAACAAGATCTAAGTTCTTGTTAACCTTTAAAATGTCTTCATTTATCTTTTATATTTGGAGGATAGTTTTGCTAACTATTAAATTCTTTGTTGGCAGTTGTTTCTCGTTCTGCACTTTAAATATTTCATCCTACTTCTTTCTGGCGTCTATTGTTCTGATTAGAAATAGCTTTCAATTTGATTGGTCATCCTTTGTACATGATGAGTCACTTTTGTCTTGCTGATTTGAAGATTCTCTGTCTCTGAGTTTCACATATTTGATTATGATGTGTCTCGACATGTGGATCTCTTTGAATTTATCCTACTTGGAGTTTATTGAGCTTTTTAGTTGTGTAGATGAATATTTTTCAACCAATTTGAGAAATTATTGGCCATTATTTCTTCAAATATTTACTCTACCCTTTCTCTACTCTCCTTCTGAAACTTTGATTAAATCTTTTGGTACACCTGATAATGTCCCAGCAGCCCCTTAGGCTATCTTCATTTTCCTTAATTCCTAAAACAATTTCAAGCATGGTAAAAAAAAAAAAAAAAAACTGTCCCTATGTAATTTCCTGAAATACCTATTGTCTATAGGGTAATTCAACTGAATGCTTGAGTCTAAAGAATATTGTTTCTTGAAATGTTTTCAAGACTTTATTTTAGGACTGGAAATTTAAACATGAACGCTTTACATTCAATAAAAATGTGAATCTTTTTTAAAGCAAGGGATGAGTCTGACTAAATAGGAAGAGAATCCCATTAAAGGAAGGGCTTCTAAAAAAGAACAAGATAATACACCAAAAAGTATAATCTCACTACACATATCATCTTATTATATGTAAATTTAGTATAGTTTCATGCAATATACATATGCCTGTAGACACAGTGTACAAAACAAACTTTCTGTAAATAAATTACACATACAAGGACACACATGCATATACTTCTGTCATTCTGCAAACTAAAATGCTTTATAAACATAAACTATCATCCCTTTTTATCCGACTTTTGTGACTTTACTATAAATACTTTCTCTATAAAAAGGAAAATTCTGCCTTCATATTTGTAGACATGCCAAATTTTACCCACTTCTATGACATGTATTTTATGTTACCTAGGGGATAAGTTAATGAGACTTTCAATTACAATCTAATTTCTTAGCTTCAATGTGGTCATCATATCCTTCAGAATCCTTCGCAACTCTTATAATAGAATCATTTCTTTTTCCTACCCTATACTGATCCTGAATCATAACTGTTACCAAGTCTATTTCACTCCAGCCAGAATTCTATTCATCATGGTACTGAGATTCTAAAGTAACAAGCAAGCAAGCAACTGTTACTGACTTCAGTTTGCCAGATGATGGCAGCAGAGTACCATGAAATGCTCACAGATCAGGCAGCTAGGGAATGGATTGGTATGTGAATTTGAAACTGGAGATCCTGGTTCTAACTAAAATGTACCAAAATGAACATTATTTTAGAAGGGCGCTGCTTAACCACATAGGTTTAAATGTTATAATAATATTCGGATATTCTCCTAGAGAATTCACTTTCAAAAAGGACTTTGGAATTTATCAATAAATGACAACATAGAAAACTTACAATGACTGAATTAGTACAAATGTCAGGTTGAATATTTTATGGTTTTAGAGCCAGTTAAGAGTATCTTCAGTCCACCTCCTTCAAATATTTATCTCTCTAATGAGTTCATTAAATTTCCTTGATCCCACCACTTTCTCCCTTCTACTATACTCAGTGAGAACTCAGAAGACTTGAGCTGTGATCACAGTTATTCCACTGATTACTGTGGTTGGGGAAAGACATGTTAGCCTTTGGAGTCTCAGTGAAATCATCTCCAAAGAGGGGAATCCTCATTGTCTCTATGGCCCTTTTCAATTCTGATGCTCTATAATTCCGAATCACTCTTTTTTTATTACTTCAATTTTTCTAAACTAGAACCACACTAGAGATTCTCCACTTAAATTTATAATAAAATATTTTATAGAGACAGCATAGAGTGGTGGTTAAGAACATGAATTTTGGATTGGTCACTTACTAACTGTGACTTCAGGTAAATTATTGAAATTTTCAAGGTGCTTCAGATTTTTTTGAAACTTTGATAATAACATTACATATCTGAGAAGGTTAAATGAGAATATTAGTGCATAAGGAGTACACAGATTGATTATATTAATATAAAAAGCATTAAGCCTAGTGCCTGGCCAATAGTAAGTTCTACATATATGTTAATTATTATGCCACCCATGGAAGCATAAACTCAAAGAAAATCTTTTGATTTTTTTTCTATCAATGAAGTACAGATAAAATAAGAATTGGAAGAGTATTCCTAGTAGATTATACTTATTTTAACCCATTCCCTGATTTTTTTTTTTTTTTTTTTT